GCAACCACCCCCACTGATGCTTCCAATTGGTCGGCGCCGCCCCTAAACGGCAGGATCTCATCGTCGGAGGTCGCTGTTGCCGATTCGAACCGTGGATCCATGCCATGGCGTGCAGCCAACCCGAGTTCGCGCCGGCGACAACTCCCACTCCTTCACCAACCTGCCGCCACCGCCGCCTAAGAGGAAGTATACTGGACCGGGACACTAGCCACTGGTACTGGCTTGGCTCCTTCGAGTGGGCAGGACTTGTCGCTAGGGGGTACGACATGAAGGCAGTGAGAACATGAATTTCCCATTTGGCAACCGCGCGGTCCTACCGTTCATAGACATCGACCCTCGAGTGGTCTCCTGCCGCGAGGTATGGGAGAACCGGGAGGCCTTTGAGCGGCTTGAGATGGCGCGCCTTGATGAGGAGTACATCACCAAGCTCCGCCTGATGCATCCGGAGCTCGTTGGCGAGGAGCGCCGGTTGCTCGAGATGTACAAGAAGGGGCTACCAACGAGGCTGGGCCGTCATGTGGTGAGGTCATTGACCTTTGCTCCGGCGACTCCAGCTCCGGGTCCGGCGACCACTACGACGATAACGTGGATTGGGAGACGCTCATGAAAGAGGAGGATTTTTTTATTTCTTTTTAAATTAAGTAGTTTATCCAATGTAGTTGAAATTTCATGTCATTAAGTGCAGTTTGAATCGAAATGTATGTTTGAATGGACTGTTTTTAATCTTTGTTTGAATAAAGTTATGTGAAAAAAGATTGAGGAGTTAAATTTAAGATTTGGGCTAGGAAACATATATTTTTTTAGATCCTCAAATATGAGGAGTTAAGGTAAGGAGGCTCTTGAGGGCCTAAATTTTGAGGGATCGGTTAGAGATGCCCTAAGTATTATTTTTTTCGGAGTAGGGTAAGAGCACTGGCCTTTCATATAGATAACAAATGAAAAACGGTAATTCACGACTAAGCCCAAGCTCATATGCTCCCAATGAATAGTAAATCCATCAAAAAGCCAAAAGTAAAATTTGAAATTTTTCGGCATCTAAAGTGCTCGGAGCGCTAAGTGGCGGCAAAATTTCGTGGTAAAATGAACGAGTAGCTCTCGAGAAAAAAATATACGGGTCTCAGCACTAACCTTTTCAAAGTTTCTTGCGAGAATAATTGTCATGCCAATTCTTGGTTGTGTGTTGTAACAAACTCTGTCTCCTCCTTTTTTTGTGGGAAACCACTGATATATTAAAGCAAGGATTTTACAGAAAGGACCTCCACAAAGATACAAATTACAACCAAGTCCCCCTTAAAGTGGAACCACTGACGAGGAACAGCAGTTCTGATAGTGCGCCGCTGCCGTATCTTCACACGAGCCTTGGATCAGAAAATGTCCCCTGGCGGACGGGAAGTCGTCGATCCTCGAACTCCGGAGAGCGTCCATCCCGCTCCTCCGGTCGCAACGCTGCCTTGCTTGAACACCACTTGCTTCAAGATCTCAATCTGGAGCCGCCGCGTCGAGCTCCAGTGCGGGGATAAACGCACACGGCGGCCACCAGGGACCGCGAGGGCGAGGAAGGCGGACGCCATGAAGCTACACCAAGCTCCACCGCCAAAGATGCCGAGCGGGTTCAGAAATTCGCCTTTACTGTAGCGGGAGAGGGGAAAGCGTCCAAGGTCACGGTCGACTAAGTAATATCTTTCTCCTGGTCAAGTTCTTCCAGACTTTCTGGAATGTAGTCAAGCCTGAGATCATGGCCCTCTTCGAGGAATTCTATGTTGGATCCATTGATCTCCGGCACCTTAACTTCAGGATCATCTCCCTTATCCCCAAGGTTCCTGGGGCTACGGATATCCGACAGTTTCAGCCCATCACGGTGATTAATGTGATCTTTCTCATCTTGGCCAAGGGGTACGCCAATAGGGTGACCCCGTTGGCCGACCGCATCACCCACCTGGACCAGTCTGCCTTCATCCAGGGTCGCTTCATCCTGGATGGCGTCTTGGTCCTCCACGAGGTGTTGCATGAGGTCCGCTCTAGAGGTCTCCAAGCCGTTTTCCTGAAGATTGACTTCCACAAATCCTAT